GTGTTAATATAGAATGTACTGAAATACAAATTTCAGTACATTTTCAGTGGGTGGCTTACTGTGAGAAAGCACATTTACTTCATGGGGAAGAAGAAACTAATACTTTAAACAAAAACAATTTTTTCATTGATTTTTTTTTTTTAGAGAGAGAGGAAGGGAGAGGGAGAGAGAGAGAGAAACATCGATATGAGAGTAAAACATCAATCGGCTGCCTCCTCCACACCGTGACTGGGAATCCAGCCTGCATCCTGGGCATGTGCCCCGACCAGGGGGTATCAAACCAGCAACCTTTAGGTGCAGGGAATGATGCCCCGCCAACTGAGCCGCGCCTGCCAAGGCAAGAAACTAATACTTTATTACAGCAAACACAGCCAGCGAGGGCACCCATTCACCAGAAGTTTGATGCCAAGAATGAAACTGGCCTTGTTGCAGAGCAACAGATTTCAGTTAAGTAAAATTCCTATTTCTGCTGAATAGTTTTTCATGCTTTAGGACAGTATGTTTAATTTATAGGAGCTAACATAAAAGCATGTAATTTGCCTACAGTTTGAACTTTAGTCATTTAGACTCTTTCACTGTATTTATTAAAGATGTATTTTTTGATAGAGCAGTTGACTGAAACATTTTTCTTTTTAAAATTTTATTTTAAATTTCCTTGAACTGTTTCACTGATGTATTTGAGCTTATTAAGTCACCATTAAAAGTCATTGCTAGTTTGATTACTTCTCAAATTCAAGAATATAAAATAAAACTCTGGCAAAGCTTGGAACTACCCGCAATATCATGGACAGTTGGAAGGTTAAGCTGTGAACTGTCTGTCTCTGTGTGTATCTGTATGTGTGTGTGTGTGATTTGTTTTTGAACACTTAAAAAATGCTCTTCAGAATCATATGTATTCTTTGCTATTTCTAAAAATTTCAGAAGGTTCCTATTAATTTACCCGTGTTTATTTTATATTTATATGTAACATATGCATATATACACATATGTATATATACAATACATATAATTTTATAAATTGAAAATTTAAATTTCTTTTTATCTTCTGACTTGTATTTCGAATGTCCACTGCGTGCTCCTAGCCTCTACAATTCTACATTTCTGAGACCTTGTTCTTTTATTTCATTTGTATCTTCTACCCTTTTTATTGGCTCACTGTCCTCTACCAGGAGTCTGTGTTTGCATCCTGCCTCTTTTTTCCGACTGCATCTGGTTCTCATAAATAGTTCCAGATGAAACTGAACAATCTTGCCCTGTTACGCCACTACCTATATAATTCATCATTATCAGCTCTATCCACGCTCAGCATTGGCCCCTAGTATTTAGATTCTTCTCATGGGATTCAAGATTAATTGGGACCCTCTGTTTATAAGTAGTCAACTATCTCCAAAATGTTGACCTTTGTCTGCAGTCCTGTTCTCCGACTCCAAGCTTAGGCTAAGGGCTATATTCCCAGATGCATATTCCAGAAGTGTTCAGCTCTTTGAACTTTGAGCCATGTAGTTATGAGACCAGATTCCCATATATAGAATCAAAGGAAAAGTTAATATAGATCGAGGACAGGGCCTAATGGAATGCATTATGGGTTTATAGGGAAATGAATTAAACAGAATTATTCCTGCTCTCAATTAGTTTACAAGGATATGGCAGAAGATATGGCAGAAGTGCATTGGAATAATAATAATAATATAGAGAAAACACCTACAATGATTGGCATAGTGTTATTGGACCCTAATGAACGGAGAAGAGATTTTGTTTTTTAGTTCAGAATTGGATCTCTCTCTGTCCACTTTGTCTGAATGCAAATAAATTGCTTAATTTCTTTGTCTCAAGTTCTTCCTTTAAAAATTAAATAATAATACCTACTTCATGGGATCTGCATATTGAATGAGTAACACATCTAAAAAATACATATGGTATCATAAGTGTTCAATACTATGTATTTATAAGTATGTATGAATATATGTATAGGTATATATAAATATGTATGTATACATGTATATGTACAAATGTATTTCAATTTATATATAAATATATGGACTAAGTTTACAGGGAATAATTATGATTTCAGTTTTTGACATACAAATGTTGAGCCCTTTGGTAACTTGCGAGAAGAGACAACAAATAGTCACCAGGATGTATCAGCTTGGAGCCAGCAGAAAGTTCTGGAGTGAAGACAGAGAAACAGTAAATATTATGCCGCATTTCACATGGGATATAACAGAAAAATGTTGGGAACCAGGAACAAAGCACCTTAGGACCTGTTTCTTCATGTAGTTAAGAGGAAAGGTCCAAATAGAGGCAAACAGAAAAACAACAAGGGGAGGCTTCATCACTCAACTATCACATAAGAGGAAGTCCTTTGTCTGCGAAGAGTGCTGCGGAAATGAGACTGACTCTCTAGAAATCAGGGGGCCTCCCCATTTTCTCCCTGACTTCGTCTTCCCACCTCTGGCTGAGAGGCAGTGACTTTGGAGCTCTTGCTGCCAGTGGACAAGTAGGAGGCTGGAGCAGGGTGTGGGTGGTTGGCTCTGCCCCCAGTAATAAAAGTGAAAAACCTTGCAGGCAGAATTCAAATTTGAGGTTAGTTAAATCTCAGTAAAAGAGTTAGCAATTTGGAACAATGTCTTTGTTAGGTTTTCTTTGTAAAACTGAAAACAAAAAATAAACCTGGCTCCATACCTCCTCAGGCAACAAGACTGTGAGGCAGGAGGCGAGATTTTGCCTCGAGTTATCCATTCTTGAAGTGGGAGGGATGCAGGAGTTGAAGGGCCCTCCTGCTTGTACTGTGGGCTGTGGCGGCTGGTAAGGGGAGGAGGGGACGCTGGAGATTGTTCTGTGCTTGAGAGGAGGCCCCGTGTGGACACAGGGTCACCTAGCAGCAGCTTCTCCAGCCAGAACTGTCTGTTGTCACTGGTGCGCTTTTAAAACCTGGGAATATGAGCGAGCCTCTGGTACGAAGACAGTGACACTGAACTTGCTGAATATTTTCTGGGGTAAACAATTTTCTTTTTTGCTTACTGATTCAGAAAACACATCACCAACAATATTTATATAGTTTATAGACAAAAAAAGAAATCACATGTTCCTGACCAAATGAGTTAGTCACCATTTTATGTGGTTTTCCATTTATGTGTCATCAGACACTTTAGAATACCAAAGAGAAAAACCTCTGCTTGGCAGTTACTTATTTCCTAACAAGTCGAAGTGCCATTGATTAGAAATATTCACATCTCCTTTAAACTCTCAGTGTAAATTTAAAAACTGTGCACTTTATAATTTCCAATTCAACGTGTCTTCCACGAAGCTGTGGAATTGTTGAGAGCTAAGTGTTCACATATTTCTACTACGAGGGAATCATTAGGAAAAAGGATGATTCAAGATGTTTCCTTGAATAATAAATAGTATTAGAGCATCAAGTCAGATGTCTTGTGGGCAGCAAACATCCTGAGAACAATATAGAATGTATTTTAACTCTGCGCCCACATGATCCTAAGCACGTTACATTCCCTCAGAACTTCTCTGGGGTAGGTTCTGTTCTCATTATTCCCATTTTACAGATGAGGAGACTGAGATTCAGTGAGTAGAATACAGTGTCAGTAATAGAGACAGAAGAGCTCTACCTCTCCTCCCATCCTTTGCCTCGGGGACCTGGATTTACTTATCCCCTCTCCCAGGTCACTGTGTGTGCCTCTCCTTCCCATGACACTCCATATTGCCCACACAAATGCACAGATATCCTTTGGTTAAATTTTTCTAATTCAACCAGCGGGAGAAACACTAACATTATTCAGCTCATTAATTTCCATTTTGCCATATTGTATATAATTAAACACACATTTAAGAGATTTAGGCCAAACATTGGCCATCAATAATACCCCTGAAAATATTTATTTTAGCTTTAACGTATCCCTCGTGTGAGGAATTCAAGATCTGTAACAAGATTATTGTCTTCAGTTGACCCAAAACCTTCAGCTGGCAAATAGCTGGTGTCCCTGGCAGTGGGCTTTTCCTGCAGCTCGCACCTGACGCCGTGCTCCGGGCTCAGCTTGTCCAGAGCCCAGCAGAACTGAAAGTTTGAAAATGATTTTGAAAACACAACTAAAGGCTGAAGACTTGCCTTTGAGTTGGGGGACAAATCACAGAATCTAACCAAATAGGACATCTGACCTTCACCATGAGAGTCTGCCAACTTTGTGTAATACAGACAGTGTATCCAAGGTTCTGGTAAATGTCGGGTTTTCACTGTGTGTTGATATCAGAGCTGGAACAGGAAATAAACATGAATTGCTTCACATTTATGTTAAATATTAAATAAATGCAATAAAGATGATTCCAAGTCAGCTCACTGACATAATGTTATTTCCAGAAAGTGGGAGATTACAGTTTTGAAATAGAACCGGAAGCC